CCCGACAAGAGGAGAAAATAGCATTATTGAGGTTGTTGTACAAAATAACATTAAATAACATTTAGAGGCAATCTGGTCATTTTAACAGTTTTGTCCGGACCTATTCTAGTCGTACCAAACGTAGGACAAACAATTTAGTCCAGTCCCGTCCTGTACCGTTCCGTCCTGTTCCATTTAATCTGCATACTAAACGCTACCTAGCTAATTGATGTTAGAAGGGTTATTATATATTTTTTTAATTAATTTTAAAATAATTTTCTTTAATTCTTTCTCCATAAATTAATAAACTTTAACTAACTATAACTTCTCCAACCCACTCATATATTAATTTATATTTTTATGATATTATAATTTGCTAATACATGTTATTCATTATATTTACCATGTACATATACATTCGTTTTTTTGCTAAAAAGTTGGTATATGAAAATGTCTTTGTTAAGAATGTTTTTAGGTGTTCACAAGGTTGACATCGATCATGTTCAAAAAGTGGTGGGTTTGGTTTTAATTCTATTAGATTATTACGTGCTCACAAACTATATCAAATATTGCAGATCCACAATATGTTCATATTGGGTTCACAAAGTTATCTTGGTATTCACGAGATATAGGTTTTTTGGTCTTCGCAAAGTTCTGTTGAATTGTTTAGTCTTTATGATGGTTTTCACTTGTGTGCACAAGTAAACTAAGGGGCCGTTTACCCAATTGCTTACCCGGTAAGCACTTACCGATAGGAGTCAACACTATGATTAATTTTGATGTGTAAGATTTTAGTATATCAAAACATATCGAATGCAACAATTTAGTGGGTAAGCACTTACCTGGGTAAGAATTGTCATCCTCACTTACCGGGCAAAACTCTCCATCATTCTCATCCCTCTTACCCAGTAAGATTCTTTACCCTTCCCATGTTCATCCGATGAGAAAATTTATGCGGTAAGTACTTACCAAGTAAGTGTTTAATAAACGGCCCCTAAGTTTTCTCGTTATGTTATTAATGGTAGGAGGAAGTAGAGAAGAAATTTTGTAAAATACCTACAATACCCTTTTTTAAGAAAATTTAATTCAAAATTATTAATTTAACTCCTAAAATTTAATACAATTTATGGTTTAAAGAAAAATGAATTTATTTATTCATATAAACTCAATTTATTATTACACGAAAATAGAATGTTGACTTGTTCCAACAAATTAAATACTTTACTTTTAGTAAGATTCTAATTTTACTTTATATTCTATTTATTTAATATTAATATTAATATTCTCGATTCGTTTGTTTTATTTTGTTTACATTATAAATATTCTTTTATATACTTAACCAACATTTCTAGTATTTTAGCACACTCAAAATTAAACATGAATATATCTCTATTTAAAAAAAAAACAAATTACATGAAAAAGTAACGTTTGTTTTTTCAAAACTTCAATTTTGATACCTATGATGTAATTCTTTTTAACATTTAAATACTCAGATAATTAGTTAATGTAACGGGTGATGAGATAAAATATGAGTTGAATAGCAAATAATATTGAGTTGGATACCATAACTTTCAAATTTAATTTTGAAAATTATATTAAAACATATGAAGGACGTTGATGAATGAATGAGCACGTTGAAAGGTGTAGTTATATAAAACATAATTAATAAATAATTATTAATTCTTAATTCGATTATTTTTTTAATACTTTATATATCTTTTTATATTAGTGGTTAAATAAGTAATAGTTGTAGGTGTGTTTGTCGTTTTGCAGGTATGGTGGAACCTCCGACAAATATATATGGGTCTGGGTCTTTTTTTGTATTTAATTATATATCACAGCTCATCATAATTGAATTCAAATAACCTCCGTATACCATGAAGCATACATTATCTTCTGTATTAGCAACTCAAACGTTTGTTGTTTACTTATAATTCAAACAAACACTTGTAAGAATGAGACAAGGAACGCTTATCCGGGTATGTGTTTATCAAGTCACGTTACCTCATCGGATGAATATGATAAAAACCAAGAATCATGTCCGGTAAGAATGAGACAATGAACAAGAGTCTTACCATGGTAAGTGTTTACCGGATAAATTGTTGCATACGATGTCGTTTTTGTGGACTAAAATCTTACCTTGATAAACGGCCCCTAAATCGTTAATAATTTATATGTATATTGTTTATTTGAGAAGATAAAGCAAGTAAATATAAATAAGACACAATTGATTTGTTGTTTGTGGGGGTCCTCCCGACAACCAAATTGGAAAGGCGAGATTGCGTCGGTGATCCGTGTAGAGACTGCTGGGAATGGGACTCTGACTTTTTTTTGGTCTCGATTACTCTTCTCCAATCGCCAATTAATCATTTATTTTTCCTTAACTTTAATTAATAATTAAATATAAAAAAGTAAGCATTAACCACTCTCATCCATTCAAATATCATTTCTTTGTTTTTTTTATGTTTTGACTTTTACTTTGAAAATAAATAATAATTTTGCATTTTCTTAAACTATATATTAATGTTTTATAGCACCGTACTAACAAGGTAGCATTTTTGTCAAAATTTCGGCATGTTCATAATATCGACATATGCTTGTTTAATAACATATGAACTATACATTCACACCACAAAAATCTCATACCGAAAGCAGGTTGACCAAGAAAATCTCTTCGGTGCTAACATTCATTGATCTTATGTTCTAAATGATGCGGTAGTCAAATGGCTGTATCAACCAACAATCTTACCTACGAGTCTTTTCAGTCGCTAGCACTACCAATTGATCTTGATCTTGGGATACAGGTCAACAACAAAGTCAATCAAAATTCATGCATGGTGAGTTCAAGAGTTTTCATCATAAACATTCAATCAGAACTTGATTGATTGATTGATATACTCGTTTATATTTCTAAGATAATACATGATCTGTAATTAAACACGGTTAATATACAAATAGTCATATTTCTTTTCACCAAAAATCGATAAAACAATATGGTTATCCATGTCATGTATGTAAAATATAACTAAACACGCATAATTATCAAGTTTGCCCATATGTATATACATATTCCACAAATGACATTCCTAAGGTTAGACATAATGTTCATGTCGGCTATAAAGCCACTCATTCATGCTATTTTTGACTCTTCATAACAATTATATCCTCGTTAATCACGTTATTGATCTCTAGGTAGGGGAGTCCTACCATTACCAACTGATGAAGGAGCCCAAATTAGTAAATCAATATCGTTGGCTAACTTATGCATGTCATATAACCTTCAGGTCTGTGTACGTACATAAGTGTGACCTCCTAGGCATGTGTATGTACATAAGTGTGACCTCACGGATCTTTCTATACATCCATAAATACAACCTCCCAGGTCTATATATATATATATCCCCCCCCCCTCGAGCACCATGCCTAATAGCTAGGGGTGCTCAAAAAACCGACCAACCCGATCAACCCAACGCGAAATAACCCAATCCGAAGCAACCCGATGTCTAATCAAGTTGTAAAACTGTTTGATATTGTATTACTATTATTTGAACCCAACCAAACCCGATGAACCCGATATCCTTTTATTTCTTGGATTTAATATGATTGTTGAATTTATATTAATATATACATTAGACAATTACACTATCACAGTATCATGTATGATTTTCATATACACATATTTTCAATCTATTCATATCTCTATATAACTCATTCATATATATGTTCAGTAACTGTGAACATATATATGTAAATTGAAAAAATTAACTGAATGTGATATACGTAAGAAATATGGATAAGTTGTATCAAATGGTACGTTGATGATGAAAAAGAAATTATGAGTAGAGAAATAACATATTCAAGGTTAGAAGAATATTTTAATATACCCAAATATCAACCCGACCAACCCGACTAACCCGTACGGGTTGGGTTGGGTTGAGTTGCACTTTGGTTTGGTTTGGGTTGGGTTGGGTTAAGATTTTTCCAAACCGCAAGCATTAGGTTAAGTTATTCGAATGTCTTCAATCCGATCAACTCAATCCATGAGCACCCCTACTAATAGCCACCTAATTGGGCTCCCACCCCCAACTTTGGAGATCTTTTCAGTGAACATCACGTGTCTTGTATTTTTTATCGATATGCTTCAACAATTTAATTAATATGTAATGAAAGAACAGAAAAAGAATTAATGATACTACAGTTTGAAAAGGATGTTATAATATATGCCTTTTCAACTTAACCCCTTAAAATGGATGTTACAGTTTTGAAGCATTTGTCGTTATGAAAGTTATTCACATCATAAGATAAATCTGTTGACATCCTTAATTAATGTGGAGAATGACAAATGGCTTTAGTGATTAGTCTCATAGCAAGAGCCTTAAGGTTGTTTTGGCCGAAATTCGATTCACGACTCACTCGCTTAAGTCCTAACAATTAGATAATTAAAAGGCAAATAAATTTAAGTATGGCAAACGATAAAGCAAAATGTGGAAATGTAAGGAACATGTTACGATTGGTGAGGCGAAAAGCCCCATAAAAATCACAGATGAAATGAGATTATATATGGTACTGTCTTGCTTTATGGGTGTGCGTAAAGTCATTTGATCCGATTGGAACCGATCAAACATACAAACTGTAAACATCCAAATTACCATCAAATTAATAAATATAGACAATTAATGATACGTTTGAATCCTACAAAGGTTAATTAAAGGAGCTCTAAGATGGATTCTTTTTGGTTTCTAGATGCTGAATGGCGACTTAATAACAGCTGTGAATATGTAGATGATGCTTTAAAGAGTGCTGGATTTAAAAGACAACGGCGGCAAAGGGCTTAATCAGTTATCCACCCGCCCATTATTTATGAAATCAGTCGTCCTCTCTTTTGTCCTTTTCTTCCTTACATACATACATACACGCACGAACATCCTCCGTACCACAAACCCTCTCTATATAACCACCCTACCTCCATCCTTCTTCCTCACTCCTCCATTCTCCATTCAAACACCATTCCCTCACAGAAAATGGACCAACTCACCTCTGAGATCTTTTCCATTCTTGAAAACAATTTCTTGTTTCCTTCACCCGCTAAACAACCACCTATCAACTCCTCCTCCGCCGCCGGAAAAGTCAGGGTTCTCTCTATCGACGGTGGTGGCGCTACTGATGGTGTCTTAGCTGCCAACTCAATTCTACATCTTGAGTCATCTCTCCGACGTAAATCTGGAATTCCCGACGCCTGCATTTCCGACTTCTTCGACGTCGTTGCCGGGTCCGGTATTGGTGGCGTTCTCGCCGCGCTCTTGTTTACAAGAGGGAAAGACGGTGGACCGCTTTTCACCACCGACGAGGCGTTGAGATTTGTTGCTGAAAAGGGGACCAAACTTTCTCGTTTTTCTAAACAAGGGATTTTCCGGCGGATTCTCAGGTCTCCGGCGAAGGGAGCTAAGGTGTTTCGTCGGACGTTTGGGGATTTATCGTTGAAGGACACTGTAAAGGCGGTTTTGATCCCTTGTTACGATCTCACCACAGGTGCGCCTTTTGTGTTTTCTCGTGCGGATGCTGTGGAAATGGACGGTTGCGATTTCAAGATGAGTGACGTCTGTGCTGCCACGACGGCAGTTAGTGGGCCTATCGCGACGGTGTCGGTGGATCGGAGAACAAAGATCGCCGCCGTTACTGGTGAGCTTGCGATGAACAATCCGACGGCAATGGCGATCACCCACATCCTCAATAACAAGCAAGAGTTTCCGTTGTGTAACAGTGTCGAAGACTTGCTTGTGGTGTCACTAGGCAACGGAGAACCGTTCTGTGGTGTCGCCGGGAATCAGACGCCGTCCCGGACGGCGTTTGTTAAGATCGTCGGAGAAACAGTTTCGGACACGGTAAGCATTTTTGCATTAAATATTGCCTACAGTTATTTAATGCAATAATTAAACATTGAAACGTATGTGAAAGGGTAAACTTGTCATTTTCCAATAAATTCCATGCATTCGAGTTAATATGGCAAAAATAGTAATTTAGGTTTATTGATTAGTTTTTTTTAAATATAAATTTTTTATGTTTTAAATATTTTATACCGATAATTTTTTTAATTAACCTGGATATCCAACTTGTTATGCAAGCCGATTAATTCCAGGATGACCACATGTTTTGTAAATAGTCCCGACTCTCAAATTATTGTATTTTAACCTCCGTAGCCTCAAGTGAATTTTTATTCCTTCTTGATATATTTTATTATTATATAATCTTTTAAAAAATTAAAAAGCTTCTGACACACTATTATTGCAACTACCCAAGTGGACCCCCTATCAACTATTGTTGATACCGTCGGTAGGGGTTATTATGGTCATTATTGTTTTTCAAGCTATAAAAAGTGAATGATGATAAAATTGAAAAAGACTTATCTACCCCTCTTCCAACTAAGATTACGATCTTAATGAAGATTTTTGTGTGATATTTATAGGTTGATCAAGCGGTATCGATGGCATTTGGGAAATCTCGAACGACTAATTACGCTCGTATTCAAGCAAATAAGGGTTATATAAATACCGAACACCAAAAAGATATGTTAAAAATGACGGATCAAATGTTGGCACAAAGAAGCGTAGAATCAGTATTATTTCAAGGGAAGAAGTGCAACAACACCAATTTGGATAAGTTGGAGCTTTTCGCAACGGAAATTGTTAAGGAAACCGAAAGACGGAAAACAGATATATTACCTGTCGTTGTGTTAAGACAAACAACTACACCGTCCTCGCCACGAACATCCTCTGCTACGACCTTATCTGTCACGTCTTCAAATTAGTTTTTGGATTTGCTACGTTTTGGAAATGCAGTCGATATTGTTGAGGGAGATAGTGATTGTGCTTGGTTACAAATCCCGAATTACGGAGATTTTTTTCTTAATGTTTGAGGTTTGTGTTTTAGTGTATAACCGTTATGATATATAACGGTTTAATTGTGCATATATAAAGATTCGAGGGTTTGTAATGAGGGTTTTTTGTTCGGTCCCAAGAAGATCTAATTTGTAGTTATGTAATACGAGTGATAAAAATGTATTTCTCCGGACCAAATCTTAAGAATTTTAGATGCATGTCGACATGATTGGATTAAATCTATACTATATTATAAAGCGTTTGACAAAAGCTCTTAAAAACCACTTTTTATGTATAAAGTACTGTTTATTAATGCATATTACTTAAAATTCAATATTGCAAGTAAATAATGCATAAATACAACTTATTGAAGCTCCATACTTGAATTTGTGTAACTAACTACAGATAAACATAATCAAATACTGGATAAACATTTTGTTTTAAATATAAAAAATCTAAAAATATAATTAGAATAATCATTGTCTTCTAACAGAATACTTAATTTTTATCTTTATAAAAAATTATATTATTAAATCAAAATTAAATTACTTCCTTATTAAACCTAAATTAGTTTATAAAAAAAGTTGAATTAAATAAATTAAACAACAAAACAAGAACTTTTAAATAGTTAATTTGATACTAATATCGATATGTTTTTTTAATTTTAAGATATCTTCAAATTTATATTTTATTCAAAAATAAAAATATTATCGTTTTTTTTAAAACCACATAAAACCGTATTATAACATCAACAAAATAAAACGAAACATACAAATCGAAATGTATCTTGCTATATTGCGTGGGTACCCTTCTAGTAGTTAGTAATTCAAGTGAATAGTATTTTTATCTGATTTTGTTGCCACTTTTAAAACAATTATATGCTTTAAACATTTGTCATGCCGTAATTAAAAGTCAACGATTTTGCAGATAAAAAGCATGCCTACTTTTTATATGTGGTGAAGACGATGTTGCTAATTTCAAACTTACGACTATTTTAGTATTTTTATAAATATATAAGAGGTACATAAAATGGTTCAATTATTAAATAGAGAATTGTAGTATTTTGTCACTCGATAAATGGTCCAAACAAAAAGTTTGGGCGGTTTCAAGAAGCAGTAGCGTAGGCCATCGATATCAATCAATAATACATGACAATTGCAAGTACCAGCGATCTTACAAAAACTAATCAGTGTTGATGCCTTGATTATTAATATTGCATATAAACTAATTAAAATCAGTAACAAGTATTCATTCTGTGTAGTGATTTCAAATAAATTAAGAACGAACAATAAATTAAAAGTTAGAAGAAAATTAAGAGATATCAATTACGACAAAGACACCTTATAAAATGTCATTTTCATTTTTATTCTATGGATTATGTAATCTTTAAGCTATTGTGATAGTTATTATTGTTGTAGCTGTTTTATTATTAATATTCATATCATACGTAAAATTGTTATAAATATAAAAGTGAATTATATTGTGGTTCGCTTAAAATTTGGATTTGGGCACTCAAATGAACTATCTACATTGAAGATCCCTAAGGCTTTGTTTGTTTTTCCATTTTCAGCTTTTAATTACCACTTATGTCTTATTCGTTCAAACGTTTTGTAATTCAGACTTTGTTTTTTTATTTATTTTTAGAGTCTCTTATCACTTAATAGGGTCTAAATAAATAAAAGGTAAATCAATTTTTTAATTCCTCTTATTTACCTTTTTCTTTGATTCTCTTTGGTTATTACTTCATTCTCCACCATGGAAGCCACAGTCCTTTCATCACCCAGTTGAAATGCACACCCCCACTTTTCTCTCTCTCTCTCTCTCTCTCTCTATATATATATATATATATATATATATATATATGTGTGTGTATATATATATATATGTGTATGTGCGCGTGAAGGGCACATGTCTCCATTTAATGGAACCTCATTAACGATGTTAGTTTGAGGGACCATGGATGCAAGAAAAATGAAAAGTTAGGGACCTTTGATGCAGATAGTCCGTTTGAATGACCAAATCCAAATTTTGAACAAACCACAAGGTCCATCGATGTAATTCACTCTAAATATAATGTTAATCATGTATATATGTCCATTGATTGACATCCACACGAATAGACCGCACAAGAAAGTGTTTTTAACATGTATGCTTATTGATACAAACAAAACACGTCAAATACAACACATATTGTTAATTATCATGTAACAAGTATATGTCGGCATGTGTTATCTATGAATCGTGAATACGAGTATTTCTTATAAGATTTTACATTCCATATAAGACGGTTAGATACTTATAATTTCGCAATCGATTAACTCTTTTGTTTGCTCGGAGTTGATAATTTCTATATTTTTATTGTATGATTTTATGAACATTCGAGCATTTTAAGTATAAGCTCAAATTGTTTGGCTCAACTCGAAAGGTTTAATTCAGTTTCCGAACAAGTCGAGTTGAAAATTGATGTTATGAAATTCGACTCGTATAATTACACAATTTTTATTTTGTATTCGGGATCGAATCAAACTAAAAAATTATTAAGTTCAAACCCTTAATCATTTTTTTTATTAACCTGGATATCCAATCCGCTATACAAGCCGACTAATCCCAGGGCGACCACCTGCTTTGCAGATATCCCGGAGTCACCGTATTTGAACCTCCGTGGCCACAAGGGAATTTTTATTCCTCCTTAGATCTGAACCTGCAACCTCCTGCTACTTTTAACCTTTGAAGCCAAGCTCAAATCAATCAAGCACCACCCTTATGGTTCTCTTAATCATTTACATCTCTCATCCAATAGAGTTCTACGTGAGAATGAAAGCTTGCAATCTAGTGTCCCTCATGCTATCAAGTGGGGCTTAAGAGGTTTGGTGGTTGCATGATTGGATCACCGATACAACTAATCTTGATTCTTTGACTTTTACGTTCGATACTGAACATATTCAACAGATTTTTTATAATTTAAAAAAAAAAAATAGATTCAATCCAATCCCATAAAACACTCCCTCCATCTACAGGGACCGAGCTAGGAGTTTTTAGATGGGGATGGCTCGGTCGTAGTCGTACTTTATTGTAGAATAACAATGATAAAAGAAAATTGCATCTTTGTTTTGGAACAAATGAAGCATATCGTCACATCTAATTAACGATATGTAATTGAAAAGATGATCACCCAAAACGAAATTGCACATTAAATCAAGGTTCTAAATAGTGTGAGACATAGCGTGATGGTGATGCCAACCCTGAAGCCTTAGGAGTCACGGCAAGACCACAACGTTTTTTTTGAAGTTAGTGTTTTAATATTTATATTTTATAACCGCAAGCATACGAAAAGTGTAGCATACAGGTCGATCTCAGGGGGCTAACAGACTAACATGTACTCGTCAACGATTTTTTTAATTAAAATAGATTAAAAGGAATAAGGAGACGCATAAATGACAGCTAACAAAGATAATGTCAGTCTTGGATTTCAGTGATGGTGAGTATTTGTGTAAAGTTACTTTAATTTTCTATCGAAGTGAAAAACCTTTCTAAAACAAACTCGTACCTACTTTTCATAGGATATTAATATTCAACAAGAAGCAGTCAGATAAAACAAATGTTTTCTCATCCTACGTCTATAACTATTCTCACTAGGACCGTAGTCATCAACCAATTCGGTTCAAATCGAAATTCATAACTTTCGTCCATATATACAACTAAATAAACTAATCAAAACATTGGATTAAAAACCAATTAACCGCAATAAACTTTTGTTGGTCGAAAATCATTCGATTAAAATCTAATACTTAGGGTCTGTTTGATTAATGATGAGGAATGGAAATGAAAATGAATTTTCATTCCCCCAAGTGTAACTATAAATGAAATTTTGGGCTTCTGGATGAATGAGCCCATTATATTATAGAAAACCAAACAGTTTTTTTTTTTTTTTTTTCATTCATATTGATTACTGCTTAATACCTCTAACCAACCACCCCCTTAGTCTCCCCCATGTACAATACAACTTGTTACCATGTGTTCAGATTGAAAAAGACAGTAGAAACACTTATTTCATCGAAATGTCAAACTGACACAACACCAAACCAAACATATCACAGAAAAGCACACCTAATAGGAATTCACAACATTAGTGTAGCCACTAAGGGAGGGGAACAAGGACCTACATGGATGGAAGTTCACGTTTTCGCTCAAATCACTCAAGTACCTTTAGGAATGTGTATACGTTCGACACCTATCTAATCGAGAAAGATGAAATGCATTCTTAACGCGTTTGAAACAATTCTCAAGTCTAAATTTTTTCATAAAATCGAGGAACTTCAGGTAAGATTAAGGCGAAGGTAGGGATTGGAGTTTGAATATTTATCCGGTATCAAGAAATTGTTTTTGTGCACATAAGTTTCTTTTGACAATTTCCAACGGATCTCGACTTATTTTGACAAGACCAACTATACAAATTAATGTATATGGATATTATCATGATTTTCATGCATCTTTCTTTTTCTCTTCTGCTTTTTCTACGAACCCAGAGTTATGTTTTTTTAATGGAATTCTATCAACCCACAAGCTACGCTTGTGTATACTACTCAACTACATGCTTCATTCCGTTTTCAATTGTTCTGAAAGGAGAACTACGTACGCATTTTTTGGTAATTTAGGTATGGTGTTCAAGACAGGGTAAGTGGTTAGGCTCAAATCAGTTTCAAAAGGAAAATATATAGTGATTTTTTGGTAATTGGGAGATTATTTCTAAGAAAGCCTCTATGCAAAATTTATAATCACTAGTATTTGGCATCACATGTTGCACGGTGACAAATTTTGTTTCTTTAAAAACCATGTAACAAAATTAAGGGGTCGTTTACCCAATTGCTTACCCGGTAAGCGTTTATCAATAGGAGTCGACACTATAATTTATTTTGATGCGTAAGATTTTAGTATATCAAAACATATCGAATGTAACAATTTACTGGGTAAGCGCTTACCTAGGTAAGAATCGTCATCCTCATTTACCGGGTAAGACTCTCCATCTTTCTCATCGCTCTTACCCGGTAAGATTCTTGGCTCTTCTCATATTCATCCGAAGAGGAAATTTATCCGGTAAACACTTACTAAGTAAGTGTTTAGTAAACGGCCCCTAAGATGAAACGCAATTTGTTAATTTACTTGTAATGAAATGCAAAGTAGGATAACTAATATATTCCGTTTAGATAGTGGGCAAAAAAACCAAACCCATATAATCACATCATTCCACTTTATCATATTTCCACCAATGTGGAAATCAAATCCAATACAAATAGAATAATTATGAATACTCAAATCTCACAATACCCTTAATTCTTTTTCTATTATATATATATATATATATATATATATATTCAATTAATTTATTTGTTTAATTAATTTTTTTATATGGATTAACTTATTAAGAGGGTTGGCCAAAATGAACCACTTCCATGAGTTCGAAGGATGAGTCAAAATGAGCAAATAACACGAGTTTAGATGATTGGTTAAAAGGAGTCAACCTCATGGGTTGTCACAACGACATCTCAACCTCTTTTCATATGCATATTATTCAAATTATCAATCTTTCATCTATCCGTCAATGTGGGATAAACAAAACTCGACCACAATTCAAGAAATGAAGATTAATCAATTATTAGGGTGCAACATCAATGTTGTGGTTTTTTACTCTTATATTTAGATTTGTTTTTTTAACTTTGTGTTTTGCAATATATACTAGAGTGTGTTTTGCACTATAATTTTACTATTTGGTTGGTTTTGATTCCAACCATAGTTATAAATTTTAAAACATCCATCACTCTTTCATATAACCTTCATCTTCTTTCAAACTATCATCTTTCTACCAATGTGGGATAGAGCTGTTCATGGGCGGGACGACCCATTAGACCCGGCCCATCCAACCCATTAGAAATACGGGTTTGGACAACCATTATGATGAAAATGGACGGGGCCAGGTTTGTTTGTTAAAATTAAAGGCCAAAAACATGAGCAATGTAAAAATAAATATGGACAGATCTGCCTGGCCCGTTTATGTTTTGTAATTAATATTTTTTTACCATTAATTAATATTATATTAGTATATTTTAAAATTAAATTATTAAAGTTATTGGATTAGAGTAGGGACTCTTTGTTTTTCTTGAGAACCCAAAAGGCTCTACATTATTTTTGTTAGCATTCTTATGCCAAAAGTCCTAATCGATCAACAATGGATAGAGTCAGTAGTTGCTTAAAGTTTTAATTGCAACGTTGTTTTTGCTTTACTTTTTGGTTCCACATTTGTTAATTAAGAGTTACACTTTTTAGGCCCGTTAACCCGTGAGCAAACCCGACCCGTTCATAGGTCGGGTAATGACAAGTTGTCAAGCTCGAAAAACGGGCTTGAGTTTACAATATTAACCCGTTGGACAAAAAAACAAGTGAGGCCCGGTCCGGACCCGCAAATGATTCTAATGTTGGATGATGAAACTCAACCTTATTTTAAGATGATTGATATTTTATGAAATGAATAGTTTGTTTTTAACTTTGTGTTTTGCATGATATTTTAATTATGTTTTGCACTATAATTTTACCAATTGGTTGGTTTTGATTTCAACCATTGTTATAGATTTCAAAGCACCATTCATACTTTTATACATCCACCATTTTCTTCTGAACTATCATCTTCATCAATGTGAGATTATGAAAAACAACCTTATTTCAAGATTCGAAGAACACTCAAATCTCATGTTGCAAGTCATCATCCTTGGTTTCACTTTTAATTTTGCATTATAATTTTTACTATTTGGTTGATTTCGATTCCAACTATGGTTATAGATTTTGGTTATAGATTTGAAAGAGGGTCATTCAAAATAAGACAACCCTACGTGGCAAATCTCATGAGTTGAGAGCAAGACATCCGATCCACCTTTTCTTATACACACCACTTTGTTCAATTCTTTCAACTGTCAACCAATATGGGGCAACTAAAACTTAACCACAATTCACCATTTGAGAATACTCAATACCTCTAGGTTTTGCACTATAATTTTTTCATTTGGTTAGTTTTGATCCCAACCATGGTTATAGATTTCAAAGAGGGTCATCCGAAATAAGACAACTCTGTGAGGCAAACCCATGAATTGACACAAAGGCATTCAATTCACTTTTTTTTTATACACCTCACTTTGTTTAAAATTTTCAACTCTTCACCAATGTAGGACAACTAAAACTCAACCACAATTCACTATTTTAGAATACTCAATTCTCATGGTGCCACAAACTTAACAAATAATCAATATGCACAAAGATAACACAAACCCGTAAAAACCAGTAAAAATATTATGATGTTCAATGAAAAACATAACAGTGAAAAACTCAATTAATGTACCCAAGAAGCTTGTCAAGGCATATAAATCAAAACTTGATAAAAAAAATGGCAAGAGTGTGTCAATTTTTTTTCTTGGCATTTACAATTTGTTGTGCTCTCGATCCCAAAATCAGAAAGGTTAAGAAATTCTTTGGAATTTTTTTAAAACAGTCGAGGCCTTGCAAAGATTGAAACAAAAGACAAAAAGAAGCAATGGAAACTTTATAAGATTTTTAAGAAACAAGTTGTGCTAACAATTACATACAAAGTAACCTTATTTTTTTTCAAGGCATGACTTTGAGCATTAAATGAATCAATTAAGGAATCGGCTGCTGTTTGTGGGTATTCATGGTGGGCTCTCATTGGTACACATATATTAAACGATATGAACCTTGGGCCTCTTGAGGTCTCTTGCTCTAATAATGAGATTTGTTGTTTTCACAAATGCTTACAAGAATAACCCACCAACCAAAGTTGTGTGTTCTATCACCTAACTCATTGGAGTTTTTAGGTTCGGAAACATTGACTTACACGGGTATTTCCACGGGTTGAGCCGCGCACTCGCCGTGTGACTTTTTGGAGTACACTCGCGACCTAACTCGCACGCCAGGTTGCACAACTCTTTGTTTGAGCCTGGCATTACGTCGGTTGAAGATACATACATATACAAGTGTGGGATCGTTTTTGGGCATAAAGAACACAAATTCTCTCTAGTTTCTCTCATATTTTCGCTCAAAATTCCATCACTAAACATTGTTTAATAAACTAGATTCAAGTACAAACTTGAATTCATTTGTTGTATCCTCTAAGTAGATGCTAGTTCCACCAACGAATTTTTTGTCTTAGGACACTGCTACCATGGAAGGTCACTCCGTTTTGGTTTTATGAAGAATCAACAAATTCAAGTAAGATTTATCAATTCATATGATCAGGGTCGATCATGAGATTTTGGATGCCCATGGCGGAAAGTCAAAAAAATTCCCCTATTATGTGTAAATAAAAACCAAAATAAACTATTTGAAAGGGTTTGGAACCTAGTCAATCTAGGCGGCTCATCCCCACTCCGATTTATTTTAAATATAACAAATATGATGCAACAGGGGGGGGGGGGACATAAACCAAAACCCCGTGTAACAAAATATAAAATACATCACCATTCGTGGTTCATGTTGTGAAATTGCCAAGAAAGTGGAACGATTAAGCAACATGGACAAATTGATAAAGGAGAAGAAAACATAAGCATCAATCTTAAGTCATTGTCCTATACTAACTCGCTTCAAAAAAGCTTCTAAACATCCCTAAAAAGTAAAAATTTTAAAGCTTGAGCAAATGGAGAGGAATGGCAGACGGCAGGCAGTAGTCGCAAGAGCCGATTGCCCGATTGTGTCAACTGTCAAGGCCGATAGCGATTCGTGAATCGTGAACTAAATCGGTTTCTATTCTGTCGTGACTCGTGAGTTCCGTGAGTGAGCGAGGCTGAGGGAGTGAGCGTGAGGGAGGATGATGGATCGTGTACTGGACGCAAGGTAAAGGTAATACTTTTAGGCCCAAATAAAAACTGAACTTTTATATATATATATATATATATATATATATATATTGGGCTTTGAAATTTTGATGTCTTTGGGCTTTATGCTGCCCTGGGCCTATAGCCAGGGCCGGCCCTGCATATGATTCTTCTTGTTGGTTTTATGTTCATGTTATAAATTTGTATAAGAATTTCTTCATTTTCTATAAATTTGTTTACATAACTATATACATATTTTTATAATTGATTACTCTAAACACTAAGAACCAACCATTATTTGAGGTTGTTTATTAATAGAAGATTGCCTTTATATTGTACAAAGCATTTGACCAACAGTTGGCGGGGGCTGAGCACTGCCATGCCCCCTACTAACTACACCTCTGTGCATTAGGGCAAGACGGTGAGAGAACTAGACCAATGTAGATTGTCTAAAAGTTTCGAGTCACTACAGTAATAGATTCTGATTCTGATACCATGTTTCTAAACCATCGAGAAAAAAAGGTTCCATTATACTTGATAAGAAATTATCCGAGTTTAACCAATAAGAGATTTTAATAAAAATAAATCCGTTACAATTCTCTTTCACACGAACTCGATTCTTATTTAACTAAAACTCAACTCAATCAAACTCGAATCGTTTTTTCTTTTGTAGAATTACTCGATAAAAAATTGAGGTGTTTAGGGCATGGTACGATGGTTTTATAAAATTTAGGGGCATGGCAGGAATTCTTGGTAATGTCGCCGACGGCCTTTGCAAAAGCCCAAAGACGCCATTAACGTCGACGGAACCACCGGCCCTCCAAAAACAATACTCTACTATCTTTCAATTCAAATTCTTGCCCTCCCGAAAACCTCAAAATCTCTGCATTTCCCTTCTCCGTATTCGAATCTACGGTTGATTTCAATTCTTATCGAAATAGTACCTGTGACAAATTCCGAGATCTGATTCACGGCGGCGGGGATTCTGTTCAACGCTAGCAGATTGGTCTCTACCAAGCTCTTTTTTCACACCTGAGGTACTCACAGGCTGCTCTCATCTTCACTTCTTTCTCTTCTCTTTACCTATTCTTGGATTTGACTCTTGCTCTGACATTTACAATCGGATCTATGATTTTCTTTGATTTGCAGCCGATCTGATCAATTTAGTTACACACCCTTTTTTATTTTCTAGATTGGTAGTCATTTTTGGTCAAATCGCTCAATCGCTCCACGGAACCCTAACTCCGCTCGATCGCTCCACCTCCACGACACGGACCTGAGCCGCTGCCTGCTGAAACCTTCATCTGCTCGGACTCCTCACTGCGTGACAGCAACCACAGCACACAGACCCATAGTTATTTCTCGACTTCTTGACGTGATTTAAGGTACCAAAATAATTTTAGTCTTCATTCTTTAGTTCTCTATTATGTACAGCATGATTCATGAATTTCGGTTGATTTATTTGATCATTTGAGCATGAATTGTTCATTTGAAAGCTTTCTGTTATTCTGGGATTTGTCATTTATACACATTTCACATTTGGGATTTTTACAGAATAACTGACTAATTATATTACACACTTCTCGTTTTTAGTTTTATGTTAATCTGGGAATTGTTCATCTAAGCCCTAAATTGTTCGTTTGTTTGATCTTGATATTAAGTAGATAGATATTAAGCAATTTCGATTTGGAATATCGTTTTGTTTACAATCTCTTTGATTTGTAGTTTGTTTACAATCTTTTTGATTAGCATTTTGGAATATTCTTGATTTTTGAAGCTTTCAATTCTTGAATATGGAAAGATAAATTTGTCCCACTATAAAAACATTTTTGGATCGCCTCTGTGGGTCTTGTCAAGACTATTAGCACTATAACATGAACACCAAGATTAGTTTCCACCATGTAGCCTGGTGACTTGTTGTCGTAATATGTAAATGCGACCAGTTCTGCTATTATCTTTTTAAGTTTTTGGATCCTTGTTGCAAACCTTTATTAGCATCCCTCTGCTATTACTTGTACTCATAGCTCATGGACTGCACTCCTCATGTGTCCTCAGTGGGTCTAACTAATGTCTTCTATTGAAAGCTCATTTCTCACTCTACTAATTCAAAGTCATAGTTGTTGGAGAGAATGTTTGTGTCATGCAGTTATTCTGTTTGACTGCTGTATCCCAATTGTTGACGACTCAAATGGCCACCTCGATTGAATATTCTAGCCTCTAGGAACAAATCTGTCCCAGACATTTTTAAGCTATGGGCGAGTGGGTAATTGGACCTTTCATAACCTTTTTGGCAGCATCACCATTACATTGGAAATTGGAACTAATTTTCTTAAGTTGGGTCATGGACATTCTACATGTATGTATATACATACAAATTTATGTGTATGTATCACTTGTGTACATACATAAACCAAGTTAGAGAGAAATAGGATGCACCAACCGATCTTGCAACTACATATTACAAATATGACATATGTATGGGTGTATGTATGGATGTCTGATAATTAACGGTCCATTTCTAGTGCGCAGACAGCACATGCATCTATATCATGTTTGTTAATATGTATCTGTATCCCAAAACATACCCAATTTATTTATGCATAGATAATATACATGTGTGTCTATGTATATTGTATGTTTGTATGTATCTTGAGGAGTTTACTATGTATATGTAGCACATATATGTATGTAAGAAATACTTGCATACTAACATACATACACTCTAACATGCATTCTTCTATTATGCACACTCTCTTGTTGGTCAATCTAGAAGCTACACAGTGGTGCAAGACAACCTCAATTTCATTTCTTCTTGCTGCTTGTTGGCTATTATTAGCTTCCGAGATATTTTTTTTGACGGAAGGGAAGGGAAGGGAAGGGAAGGGAAGGGGATGGGATTTGAACATCTATGATGTATTACTACAATCCAAGCACCACCCAGAATGCTTGATGCCAGCTTTCAGAGATGGAATTGATAGAAACTGACCTATATACATAGTTCATATTTCACTTCACAAGAACCATGCCTGATATCATCAGCTCAATGTGAACCTTTTCTGAGTCAACTGGTATATTTGGTCTTCCAATTTCAAAACAAAATAAGATTTTAACTGGATCCATTTTTGATGATCAAGAAGGGGTTTTTTAATTGTACACGTAGGTTTCCCTTTTACTCTTTTTAGAAAATAACTATTACCATTTACTACTAATATCTTTTGCTAATCTTTTCTTGTGTTTTAATGTTTATAAACATTTTTCATTTTGGAGAATGCAACGTGTCTTTGTTTGCTTTGTGTGGAAGCTATATGATTAGACATTGTTCATTGATCTGGAATTTAAACAAGAGTCATGAATAATCTCATCTTAGGATTTAACCGTAGTAGTTATAGACTTATAGTTTACAATTTTCACTTTAGCATGTTATCGGCATTTGATATTGTCGGTTTATTTACTTGAGAGATGAAAAGAAGCCGAGCCATAAAATAAAGGGTGGGGAATAAAGAAAAATTAGATAAGGATGAACACTTCTATTCTTAAGTTAGCATAATTATGAGAGGCTTTTTGTTTGTTGAGTAGCAATATTGGACTGTTGATTGGGGGTTTTCAGTATAAACAAACTAAAGAACTTCTTACTTGCAGGTTCAGGCTTATGTATGGCGATAATATTCCAATTTGGCAATAATGGAAATGCCCCTTGAGAAAATTCCCACCACCTGAATCGAACTTATCAGAACTTTTGACTATCCACTCCGTGTCTTTGAGGATCGCTGAAAAGTGTTATCTCCTTGTATCTTGTGGTGAACGGAAAAACAAAGGGGTAAACAATATACAAAAATGTCAGGACTGATTTATCATGTATTCACGTCCTCAGCGTTGGTGTCACTGGGACTGTATCACCTCATCTGCACCACCAAGAATCATCTCAGGTCCCCTCGAGATTACTTCACAAAACCCTACCATCCATTCACATGGCATTACCAACCAATCACCAGACACCTTCAGCTCTACCTCATCATCCTATGTCTCCTTATTGCCTTTGCCCACCAAACCTCAATCTCTTTCGACTCCGATCCCCTCGTGAAGGGCCGCTCCCCTGTTCACCACTTCACTTCCCTCCAATCTGCTGGTGTCGTCTTCCTCTTTCTAATCCTTTCCGTGGCTCTCCTCATCTCTGAAATCACCCCTTACCTCCCCTTCCCACCCGATTTATTCTTTGGCACTGCATCCGCACTCTTTTTCCTTCAATATTCCGTTTCTTCATCCTCAGCTTCCCTTCAAATCTCTGACCTCGAGGCAAAGTGTGATTCCGTCTCTGCCTCCATTTCAGCGCTATCTGCTGCACTCTGTATCATACTTGCTTGCCACCCAAGACTATTTGTTGCTGATGTTGGCCTTGGGGCGTCGATATGTCTCCAGGGACTGTGGTCCCTTCAAACTGGCCTTTCTCTTTACGTGGATGCTTTTATACCTGATGGTTGCCACAAGCTGCTGGATGTTGTGAGTGGTGTTGAGGGTTCAACCAAGTGTGATCTGGAAGACTCTAAGTTGAGGGCCACTGCTATACTAGACCTTGTCTTTGTGGTTTACGTGTTGTTCGTTCTTCTCATCCTTATCGTAACATATGCCGTGACTGCTAAAATTGTCGGGGTTCGGAGATTTGGTACTTATGAGGCTTTGCCGACCTCGTCTGTGTCTGCTACTGATTCGAATCACATTCAGATGAAAGCGATGACGGGAACCCAAGCTTGATAGTTTCTCTCCATTTGATAAGTCCTGGCTAGATGATTGTAGTAGAATTCAGTCTTTTTTACTTGTTTAGCTGTTGTTGGGAAGTCTCCTTTTTTGATGACAAAATTGTATGGAATGTTACTTGTATACAAAGAATTGAGTGATCTTTTTTGGTGGTTTGCCAACATTTTGTGCACTTTATGGCTGCCTTCACTTCTACTGTTCAACTTCTTTTTTCCTTTTTGTTATGTGAAGAGTTACATTCATCCAATTATGTTTTCCTTTAATTCTCTAAACATAAATGTTATGATAAGAAAATGACACCATCAAACCACAAGGGTGGTGCCTGATTGGTTTGAACTTGGTTCCAAAGGTCAAAAGTACCAGGAGGTCCAGGTTCAAATTCAAGGAGGAATAAAAATCCCCTTGTGGCCACGGAGGTTCAATTGCGGTGACTTCGGGCTATCTGCAAAGCAGGTGAATGCTTTGAGATTAGTCGGTTCGCATAGCGGGTTGAATATCCAGGTTAATAAAAAAAAAATACACCATCAATCAATTTATAAGACGGTTTTCAACTTCTCCAACTCCGATAGCTTTTGAGTTTGTTCATGTTTTTGTATAGGGTTAAAAAATCTGAAGTTAAGGCTCATTGGTAGTGGAATGGTAAGGTTTTGTTTGTTTTTTTATAAATTTTTTTTATCAGCCTCTTATATCTGATTCATTAAGAGGTAAAATCATTCAAACTGTTTGTTTTTTTCAATTTTTTAGAGGCACTTATGTCTTATCTTTTTCTTATTTGCTCCTCAAATCCTCAACAATGGCGTTTCTCAGTCGATTAACCTTAATTGATCATTCCTTTAAGTCGATCCTTACCAAAACAGTCCCCACCTCTCTCAATTAATGTATTTTAATAGGATGTAAATGTGTTAAACACCGTTAATGACATATTTTCGTTTAAATTAATGTTAATTATGTAATTTAGATGTAAATTTCGTAATGATGATGAATAAATATGTGAAATTGTATAAATTTATCTATAAATTCAACACTATCATTTTTTTAATGGATAAAATAAATAATTTAAACAAATTCAGACGTTTATCACTTTACAGAAACAAACAATCTTATGAATTCATATTTCAGACTTCAACACGACCTCTTATAAATCAGAAGTGAAATAAAACTTCAAACTTCAGGACCAATTAAAAAACAAACCTCAACTAAGAGTTTGGACTAATTAATAGACATTTAACAATTAATAATATTTTTTTTAATTATTATAAATTTGTTAGATTTAACGGATTGAACGTAAGCTGTTAGTGGGTATATTTGAACATCATCCATGTGATGAGTAGATGTTACTCTTAAATGCTACCACAATGTCCAAAATACATGATATATATGTAATTGATAACTTGATGAACCATGTGCTCGATTTCTATTAGTTATTTTGATTGATTACAAAACTCTTACACATACTGAATATAAGAGTTAGAGCATCTTTAATAGATTTTTTAATGAAAAAAAAATGAAAATTGAAGATTTTGAACAAAATTTTAGCAAATAAGCCTTACAAAAATTACAAAAATTTGTTCAAAATTTATATATATATATAATTACAAAATAAAGATTTGAACAAAAGTTATTTTAAGAGTACAAGTCTGAACAGTCATTCTTCAGAGTTAGCTCACCTGAATTCTGAAGTCTTCTTTTTTTAGACTTAGCTCATCCGAATTTTGAAGTCTTCTTTTTCAGACATAGAAGTCTGAACTCTGATTTAGTGGGATTGATTTTATATTTCAAAGTTATTTCAAGAGTATAAGTCTGAAGAGTCATTTTTCAGAGTTTACTCACCCGAATTCTGAAGTCTTATTTTTCAGACTTAGCTCACCCGAACTCTGAAGTCTTTTTTTTCAGACATAGAAGTTTAAACTCTGATTTAGTGAGATTGATTTTATACTTCATAGTTATTTCAAGAGTACAAGTCTGAATAGTCATTTTTCAGAGTTAGCTCACCTGAATTCTAAAGTCTTCTTTTCAGACTTAGCTTACCCGAACTCTAAAGTCTTCTTTTTTAGACTTAGCTTACCCGAACTCTTAAGTCTTCTTTTTCAGACGTAGAAGTCTGAACTCTAATATAGTGAGTTATTTCAAGAGTACAAGATTGAAGAATCATTCTTCAGATTTTTACTTCAGAGTTAATTCTAGAGTATAAGTCTGAAAAGTCGTTATTCAGAGTTAGCTCACCCGAACTCTGAAGTCTTCTTTTCCATACGGAGCACCATGCAAAGCCTCTGCATAGTGCATGTAGAGCTTTTGACTTGCCCATACAGAGCTCTAAAGTCTGAAGAGTTTTACTTCAAAGTTATTTCAAAATTTTGAGTTTTGTAATAAACTTATCTTGCTTTGAAGATAAGTATTTAAGATTTAGACTTAGTCTTGTAAGCTAGAGCTCTTCTGGTTGGTCTGGCTTTTGGATGGCTTTGCTTCTGTTTATTTATTTGAACCTTGGAAAAATATTCCACTCCATCATAAAGGAACCAAAGGGGATCTGGTTGATCTTTATGTTTAACGAGCTCAAATTCTATAAGTATTTAACATTTTCTTGACCAGAGGCTCTTGTTGACCAGAGGAGCTCTCATTGAGCAGAGGGCCTTTGGTTGGCTTTGCTTTTGGTTGGTGAGTCTAGAGGGGCTCTGGTTGGTTTTGCTCTGTACAGGGCCGATCCTGAGATTTTGGATGCCTACGGCGGAAAGTCAAAAAAATGCCCCTTATATGTGTAAATAAAAACCAAAATAAACTATTTGAAGGTTTTTGGAACCTAGTCAATCAAACAAAAAAATGCCCCTTAAATATAACAAAAATGATGCAATGGGGGGGACATAAACCAAAACCCCGTGTAACAAAAATGGTCCTTCGTGGTTCATGTTGTGAAATTACCAAGAAAGTGAAACGATTAAGCAACCTAGACGAATTGATAAAAGAGAAAACATAAGCATCAATCTTAGGCCTTTCACAGCTTCTATACTAATACTAACAGCCCTAAAACAAATTGCCCTATACTAATACTAACCCTCTTCTAAACAGCCCTAAAATTACTAAAATTAACAAACGAAACATAAATGACAAACCACAAAAGTACCAATTTCACAGCTTCTATACTAATATTAATAGCCCTAAAACAAATTGCCTATACTAATACTAACCCTCCTCTAAACAGCCCTAAAGTTAACAAACGAAACATAAATGACAAACCACAAAAGTACCAATTTCACAGCTTCTATACTAATACTAACAACCCTAAAACAAATTGCCCTATACTAATACTAACCCTCCTCTAAACAGCCCTAAAATTAACAAATGGAACATAAATGACGAACCACAAAGTACCAATCTCACAGCTTCTATACTAATACTAACAGCCCTAAAACAAATTACTCTATACTAATACTAACCCTCTTCTAAACAACCCTAAAATTAACAAATGAAACATAACTGACAAACCACAAAGTACCAATTTCACACTTCATTATTAGGTTTTGCAATCAAACAATAATTAGAAACTTATAAAATAAAATAAGTAAAGTAAGTAAGTATTAAGTAATAACCCTAAGTCCCTTACCTCACAAGTGTCAAGGGCTCAAGAGTCAAGGCCGAGAGCGATAGTCGCAGTTTGCAGTCCGGCAGACAGGCGGCAAACGGGAAACGGCAATCGGCGAGCGAGAGACAGTCGATTGTCGAGAGAGGCAGAGAGCGAGCCGATTAACAGTCAACTGTCAAGGCCGATTGCGATTTCGAGAGCGAGTGAGCGATGCGAGGCGAGAGCGAGAGTCGAGGGAGGAGGGAGTGAGTCGTGAGGCCGTGAGCGAGGGAGGATGATGAACATGTCACGGACTGTGGACTGGACGCATTGTAGTGGACACTGGACGGTAAGGTAACTTTTTTTTAGGCCCAAAGAAAACTGAACCTATACCTAGACATTGGGCTTTAATTTTTTGATGCCCTTGGGCCTTGTGCTGCCCTGGGCCATCTCCCCCTGGGCCTATGGCCAGGGCCGGCCCTGGCTCTGTATGATGCAAGCTTTACAATGGAGTCTTTTTGAAAGATATTAAGTATTTGGATAACTCTAAACTCAAGGTCTTCAATTACTAATATAGTTTCATTTCTAAATCCAATTTTATTCTCGGGTTAACTTCATTTTAACTAATTATTGATATAGTTTCATTTCTAAATTCAAGTCTGAAGAATCATATTCAAAGTTATTTCAAAAGTACAAGTCTGAAGTCATTCTTCAGAGTTATTACAAGAGTACAAGTCCGAAGTCATTCTTCAGAATTATTTCAAGAATACAAGTCATTCTAAATTTAGTTCTAAGTTTAAATTCAATTTACTAATATAGTTTCATTTCTAAATTCAATTTTATTCTAGGGTTAACTTCATTTTAACTAATTATTGATATAGTTTCAATTCTAAATTCAAGTCTGAAGAGTTATTTTTCAGAGTTATTCTTCAAAGTTATTTCAAGAGTACAAGTCTGAAGTAGCATCGTACTTTTGATGATCATTCATAACTGTAAGATAAGTTTCTTGACACGATTTAATTTTTTTAAATACACGGGATCAAACCTAATTGTATTATATATAACTACTTTAGATTTTGCAGGTAGGTCCATGATTGCTTACATGGAATTCTCGATATGACACACTTAAGTTCAAAAAGATCGTGTGACCAAGCAAAGGTAAGGGTCTAAGACTTCTCTTTTAAGAATTTCTTTTTGATTATCTTTCTCCTTAAACGAAGTTTATCATCGTTGCGTTCAGAGGAAAAAAGCACAGTAAAAGCATCTCCAACAAGTTCTCTCTAATTTTTTCTAAAATAGATAACCAAAAGTTAAAATCTCTAAAAAAATTACTTTCAGCTCCAACAAATTCTCTATTTTAGAGATTTAAACGTAAATTATATTATTATAATACTATCTAATTTTATCATCTCAATTCACTTTTTTTAAAAACTTTATATAAAATAATATAATGCAATTTAATTGGTGGGATCGATTAAAATAATCATTTTTCTCTTTACATCAAGTTGTAGAGAGAATTTCTAAACTTAGAGTTTTTTCATGTCTTCTCTATTTTAGAGAACATTATAGAGAATTTGTTGGAAATGCTTTAAGAATTCAATCTGAAAAACATCCGGAAGAACAGGTTAACTT